GCAGAAGCGGGTTTATCTGTCTCATAAAGGAGGGGAAAAGGACAAATTAAATATCTGCTAGGTGGTAGAAACAACATAATTTTATTTAATGTGATATCGCAAATTTTCGAAGATGTAATTCATCATAGAATGCAATTTTATGCTTGTCATGTGACTGCAAAGGGTTGCTCAGATACGACCCGATCGACTACTAATTGTCATTAAAAGCAAATGAAATAAAACTTTCTTCTGCGCGATGCGTGTTAACTGTTTTCTAGTATAATGAAGAGGGTTTACAATAAAATCCGGAAAGTTGAACTTCATGTTATCTCAAACCTAAAGTAGACGATTTCATCTAACATAATGTTTGCATTTGAGTCTACGACACATCGATCGCAGTTCTATTCGTAAGCGCTTCTGGATCCAACTTGTTCCAGTCACTGACAAAATTGCCTGAAGATGCCTCTTTTGAAATACTTACTGTTTCTGAATTCAAAGAATCGTTTTTGGTTCTACGCCTGAAATCCGTACACAAATGTGTTCTGCTCTTATCGGTGGTCTGGTTGGCTCAGGCATTGCCTTAACGCTGAGGAAGAGTTTGATGGACCGAGTTGATATCTTGAAAAAGAGTACTACAAACCTTGCTCAGGAGAAACAACTTCTTCGGATTACAATTCATTAATTAGATGCATTTTTCAACGAAGCCACAGGTGCTCTAAATTTGATCAACAGGATCGCGCAAGCTCGCTCTTCTCAGTTGTGGTTTATTTACAGGTACAAGTCAGTCATAGGTCATTATAGGTTCTTGTGATGGACGTGATAATGACTCTTGGGCTTCAAAACCTGGAAAGTTTTCCAGCATGCTTCCTTATTTGGTTCAAGGGACCCATGGGGTGTGACCAGGGTTTGAAAACCATTTCCAAAGAAACTGATTTAAACATACAGTATGGCGAGCGCTGCATGAAGTATTCTGCAATTTGAAAAAGACCGGTAATCACTCGCAAACCAACATTGAGTAGGGTTGCAATACTTTTTACCATGCAGTCCAATTTCAATTATTTTCAGTCACGCTAGGATGCCAACTCTGTGATGGCTTCTCTCTGACCGCTGTGAAAAAGTTGATTCTGTAAAAAATGGCTACATAAATAGTACGCATTTTTCTCATTGATTTTAACTGCCTTTATAAATTCAAATATATTTTATGGAAAGCATGCACCAATAAATCCTCTCTTGTACTTATTTGAGAGTAAGTTACGCCTTCCTTAAATTTTATTCTTAAAGGAAGTGTTTCCTTCGGTTTCAAAACATTTCTAATTTTGAGTTTTTTACGACTGTGCGGTGTTCATTCATAATACATCATATCCTTCAATCTATTAATGCTGCCCCTGATATATACGGCATGATCCATGTCTCTTACGAAATTTTATGAGAGCTATGCAACCAATTCCTCAAACCATAGGCAAAAACGTACTTTTCCTTAAACAGGATAGACAGAGCATTCAGATAGTAAAACTTGAATTCAGTTCTAGCAGTCGGTAGGTTTCAAAATCATTCGGCAATTTAGAGACTTTTTAAAATCGAAGGAAACCCTTCCTTTAAGAATAAAATTTAAAGAAGGCGGCTCGAGAGAGAGCTCTAAAGGCGATATGGGGGGACGAGTGGGTCCTCTGA